AAAAAAAAAAAGAAAAAATTTGAAAAAAAAAAAAAAAAAAAAAGAAAAGGGACGTTTTCGCGTGCATGCGTGAATGCACAGCCGAGCGAGGGTCGTCGACTGAAAATACGGTTCTCCACTGATTACGAGTTACGTTCGGCCGGAATTTCTGCTGCCGCGCTCCGCCCGTTTCAACCCTTGCCTCCGGTTCGTGAACGTCGCGACGCGTCGTCCAGAAATTTAGGACAGCTCCCCCTGATTCTGTTTTCAATGATTCAACGGCGTTGAACTTTGTCCACCTACCATTCGAGCTTTATTGGTTAGTCCATTTGCGCGCTCATTTTTTTTTTTTTTGTGGTAAGTGTAATGGCGGCTTAACTGGTCGAGAGTTGTTTGGAAGCTGAGTAAGTTTGTTTTGTTACTGCACGTGTAATGATATTCGTATTGTTGTAATGTATTCAGCAAAGTGAACAGAATTAGAATTCTACGACTAGGTTATTCAACTTTAGTTCCACTTTGGCGCGGCGTTCCGAAATGCCAAATCAATTTCAATTTTCGTTATCGTTCACGCAGGACATTCGTGAAAATTCATTCTCTCACTTCTTAAATTACGTGGATTGTTGATTCCTGATTAAATTACATACCTGTATGTATGCACATACAATTGAAGATTAAAATCCAGCAAACAATTTCTTGGAAACAATATGCCTGCAGCAATTCTCGAGCAGATCGTCTCAATTTTTTCAACTAGTAGTTCATTTGAGAAATTCTGTCCATTTTCTTCTCGTTCTACGTTTTTGCAACTTGCTGTTCTACGATATTTGCAGTAACGTTTGCTATAATATCTCAGTCTCTCTCGGGTACTTCGTATTTTCACGATCTAATTACTGCAACATTACTGCGACGTAATTAGAATTCGCATCACGGAAGATGGTTAATTCCGCAAGTTTCAGAGATCGAAGCGTGCAACTCAAGTTAATGTTTGGCTTCTCCCTCAGAGTTCGTTTATTTTCTGGCAACACCTCCTGATGATGAAAATTAATTTCGATCCCGGGATCGTTGATTCTGATACGCAGTAATTAATTTCGGCGATTATTAATTTTGTTTTTTCTTTTTACTGTCAAGCTGCGCGTGAAATTAACATTCGTGTGTATAATAAGATAAAATAAACAGCGAGATGAAATTTTTAAATTTAATATTTTAAGTAATCTTAATTTGTATAATTTGTTTAATAATAATTATTTATACACTTGAGTTTATTATTTTAAGAAATTCAATATATATATAACAATAACTATTTCTTTAAAATTTTAGTTTAAATTATTATTCAAATGGATTGATTATAATAATAATTTTAATTTTTAGAATTATTATTGTAAATTTAAGTTTAACGTATTTAAAGTTATTGTCTTGTTACTCGTGTATTTCTGAATTTACGTGCGTCTGCCACGATTTTTTTTGTAAATTTTATCGTCGATAAATATTGAAACAACAATTTCGAAAAATACATACGTTTTTGATAACAAATTGTTGGCAAAAACTGATATTTACAATATCGCTGTAACCGAGTGGTAACCTTTCGCTGAGGTGAATCTTTATGTTTAATTCGAAAATGATACTTTAAACATATTAATTTCCAATTGAATTTGTCTCGAGGATAAATAATTGATAATAAGACGAGATAATTGACGAACCTACAGAAAATATATGCCACAGCACGTTTGCATTGGTCATTAATTGCGAACGGTATGTTTAATGTTCCACATGATTGTCTTTGTGTCCTTGTTGTCACGGTGAAATTTATGCGTATCGGGTGAATAAATTAAACCTCTATTTTATAATATCGGTAATTACACGTTAAATATATCGTTTGCTTAAATTATGCATGCAACGACGCGTGAAATGATTCTTCTTTGAATAAACAAAACGGAAAAACAGTCACTGTAACAAAATTCGTTCATTATGTTCATAATGCGCATAAGGTTCAGTGCGCTAAAGTTGTTGAGTTTTGACCATTTTCTAGTACCATCAGATAGTCATTATTTCACCATAATGAAATACACATAAATTGCAACAAAAAGGATTTAACGTCGAAAGTAAGTAAACAAATCTTTTGCAAATTATTGTTGAAATTTACAATCCACAACTACTCGTTTATTAAATTACCAATATTACTAGTTAATGATATTAATCGATGTGTAAGAGGATCTAGAATGCAAATCGTAATAATTCATAAAATATTAATTTAACATAGAGCAGAGCACTGCAAACTGATTTGTACGAATTACTGAACTGACGTAATTACTCACTTATTAAATTACCAACATTATTAGTTGGTAATATTAATCAATAGTGCCTACAATTTTCTTCGCGAGGCAATTCTTTAACTTTTTCATTTCAAGCCAGTTTCTCGAATAATTAAAATAGAGAACCCAGAATGTGCAATAAGTGATTTTGATAAAATTCTAATTTTAAAAAGTTAAATCATTACAATTTCCCTAAATTTCATTCTCTCGAACATTTTAAAGTAAAACCTTTCAGATGATAAAAAGAAAAAAGGTCCTTTCAAAACGTAATAACTTTCTGTCTCCCACAAATGCCATAAAATTAAAACAACTCCACGAGTTAGCTAAAGTGACGTCATTTCAAAGCAATTATACTCCATCAGTATGACAATGTCCGATACTAAATATTTCAGATCGTTCTCTTCTCTCTTCTTGGCTGATCGAGTCATTTTATCGAGCCTGAAACAATCCTGTCGACAATAATCGTCGTTTATAGGACAATAAGGAACAATAAACCGACAATAAGACATACACGTCGATGGATATTGATATCCAGCTGAAGGACCGACGATCGATCACTTTCTTTCTTCCCTATCGCAATTTTCTCAAACTTCTCGACTGAAGTTTTCACTTTGTTTCTCGTCGTGATTCTTGAGGAAACGATTTCAATTCGCTCACAATCAGCGTGGAATTAAAATTTCACGTTCGAACGTTCTCTCTCTTTCTCGGCAGTGATGAAATATTCCGCGCTTCTCAAACATCCGCCGAACGATTCGACGCTCGCGAAACTTTCGTTTCCCTTTTTTTCTTTTTTTTTTTTTCTTTAAATCTCTTTTCACTGAAATAGCCGCGATTCCAACGATATTAGATTAGATAGATTGGATAATTTTATTTTTCGGCTTCGCAGCCATGAAAGTGGACTTGGTTTACATTTCTCTTTTTTTTTTCATTCTCTTTGTTTCTCTCACTCTCGCTCTTCACTATTCATATCTCTATTATACTCTATCCACGCTATGTACTTTATATATACTCTATACTTTTGTGCTATACTTAACAATTTAACACTGACCTACACTATACTTTTATGCTATACTTAACAATTTAACCTCGATTGTATTACCTAACTCTTCTTTTGCTTATCCCAGATTGCCCTTTTATTTTCTACCTTATTGTTCTAATTGTTTACCCTACGAATGTACCGCGTATTACCTTTGGTTGTCTTCTCACTCACTATTCTTTTTTTTTTTCAGTTCTCCTCCTTCTGGTCTCCTTGACCATGCTTCTTTTTCCCATTTGATTTCTTCTAGATTCCAACGATATTTCGTTCCTTAAACAACGCACTGCGCGCCGAACGATCTTTCTTCTTTCGATGGGAAAAAATTTCGACGATCTGTTTTGTTTAACAAGTTTCGTTAACCAGCGTTGCGATTTCCGTGTAATTCCGCGGACTTGCGAACGAGTCAGCCAGATGGAAATTGACCGACGAACTCTATTTTCTTTTTTTTTTTTTCTGACTTTCGTTCGGAAATTTTATATTTTTTTACTTTGCGGATGAATGAGCGCGGGAGATTGGTTCGGCGAACGCGGGAAGCGAAATTGATTAATTCCGTTTTTTTTCTTTTTTTCAAATTTCACTTTCCGTCGAATCTTGCGTTTCAAGCAAGACTCTCGAGTCGTTCAAACGTATTTACGTTTCATCTTCAAAATCCATTTCGGATAATTCAGAGAGTCACGACATTTCGAGTATATCCCGACTTCAGAAAAATTCGACTACCGTTGGTAATCGACAACAGACAGAAAAGAAAAGTATCAGGATTATCACGTGGCAAGAGATTTGAACATTTGTCAATTATTCAACAATATCCTGGATCGAGACCACCCGATTAGTTCCCATTCTGACGGCGAAATTCGCCGTCTCGCGTTTTAAATGCGTCTCCTCTGTCCAGAAGCAACCCCATTAACGATTGCAACCATCTTCTCTCTCTCTCTCTCTCTCTCTCTCTTCGTTACTACGATATTCGCTTCCGCGTGACCAAAGGAGAGAAAGAGAGCGAAAGATAAAAAGAAAGGGAAAATAAACAGAGCGCGCGCGCGCGAGAGAGAGAGAGAGAGAGAGAGGGAGGGCGAGAGACTAGCGAAGTCATCGAGGGGGCGACTCTGGGACAGAATGGAAAATACTTTGTGTCGAGAACTCGAGCCGAGGGTAAGCCGACTGAATGAGGGGCAAAGACGTGTATGCGGCTGACACTCGAAGAGCCCAGGCCGCTTCAAAAGGGTGGCATACAACCGGTAAAGGGAAGATGGACGGGGTGGCTGTGAAGTCTATCCTCTCCCCCTCCTCCTCCTCCTCCTCCTCCTCCTCCTCTCCCCGTACTGAATGGGAGGCGGGAGAGAGGGCCTATACGTTTAGAAACCTCCGGACGACGAACCTTCTGGACGAAAGCACTACACACACATACACACACACACACACGCACGGTGGTCATCAGCGACTGTGATCACCCTTTCTGCGCGCTGGACGCTCGAGAATATTTTTGATCACGAAGGGATGGGATTTTGAGCGTTCGAGCTGAACGAAATCGATAAGCCAGACGGTAAATTTCAGTCAGTCGTCAAATTATTATTTAATCTCTATATTTTTGTATAAACGTTTGTGACATATTGATTTAAATTTCACCGAAAATTAATAAATTTAATGTAAAAAGTATCTTCGCCATAATAAAATTTATCAATTATTAACTTTGAATAGTTTAACTGCTATTGCTGGCACTTTAATTTATCATTATTAATTTTCATTAAATTATATAGAATTCTTTATTAATTTTATATATATATATATATTTAATATAAATAAATTGTATATAAAATACTAATTCATTTAAAATCAAAATTTAATATGCAACTTACATTAAATATAATTTACAGCGATTTCTATCCAGTGATATACCGACGAATTAAAAGAAAAGACGAATTATTCTACACGGTTTTGGTCACTCGTTATGGTCCGCAATCAGTTGCCTAGCGTAAGCGGTTAATTTTCGGGTTCAAGCTGACGCTGCAGAGACATCTCAATTTTTACTCGACGCGTATTTCCTTCAGTCGATTTCTGAAAGATTAGACCGTGGCCTTTAATATTATTTACGATCCGTTGATGATAATTGTTGCACACGGTGCTAGAGTTTACGAAAGTCAATTACGAATGAGGAAAATGGCGTTGAACGCTATACACGGGCGCAGCGTGTAATCGAATTATATGCTTTCGAAGATAATTGTATGATATTGCTCTGTATATATTCTCTCTCGTGCATACCTTCAATTACACAGCAACATCAAACCTAGCGAAACACCGACATTCCTGGCTTCCAAGCGTAACTCCTTCCCCCCCTCCCCCCTTATTCGAATGTGGGTTTAATCATTTCGCGAACAATGCAACGAGCTTCAGTATTCGACGCTGTCCGAATCTCGGCGGAGCTTTTTAAGTAGCCTGCTAACGTTTGGGAATGTTAAATTAGACTGCAAACACCAACTTTCGAATCTTCAAAATTTTCAGAATTGTAGTTTTCAGAACTGTATATACTGCTCGAATTTTACAAAATTTTCCGTCAATATTACTCAGTCATTTGATTGGAAGAAGTTCTACCAATATTGTTGAAACGTTCGATTCAAGAGCTTGGGGCTCTATAATATTAATGTATCATATGCGAGAACAAATTTTCTTCGCGTCTCTTTCCGCTTGCGAGTTTAAATTTCACACCTGAGCAAATTTCACGAAGGTGACAACATCGACGAATTTACAAGATGAATTTTATAAATCAGAAACTATCTTGCTACTTTGTAATACTTTACGAAAACGTTGTAAAATCTTAAAGCAGAAGTTCTGCGATCTGTTCAAATCTACCAGTGTCATTAATTAAAAAATCATCGTGCAAAAGGACCTTCTGTATAAAGACCTACCTTCAAGGTATGTATATCTTCGAAATCTGTTATTCGACAAAATTATACTCTTCCACCTAGAAATTTAAAATTAAAAAAAAAAAAAAAAACTACCAACGAACTCATATTTCTTTCTCAAAATATTCTAAACGTTAGTTACGAAACGTCTCTGATCTCTCAATTTACCAACATCATCGATTGACGTACATATGTACGTTCATGGGAACCTTAGAGATTCCGTGGACTTCCATGAAAATCCCGATACCCTCTCTATCCAAGACAGATCTCTCTGTTTAACATTGTCTCGTTCAGATCGAATCAAACTCCCCGACACCGCAGAACGTTTCTCCGCGAACCATCCTCCATTCTCTCTCTCTCTCTCTCTCTCTCTCTCTCTCTCTCTCTCTCTCTCTCTCTCTCGCAATGCGCAACGCGGTTCGAGCACCCTCGCCGCAACATAGTGTAACGCGTTGTATACTGACCAACTCCGAGCAGTGCTGCTTGGCAGAGATATTGCCTGGACACGAGGCACTGGGCGGATGGTCTGGCGGTAACGACTCCCCAAGCCGCACAGCCGAGGGCCGCTGCCAAACCCAGACAGGTCTGCAGAAGCACCACCGCGCTCGCCTCTAAACCGTCTTTGTATCCCTGGACAGCCTGCAACGGATATGTTTTTCATTAGCTGATTGGATGATTTCGAGATCATCAAGATTCTTACATATTTATTATCGTTCTCTGTTCAAACTACGTAATCTACGTCCATACATGTTAACTACGTCCAAACTACAATTCAAACTGTATAATCTATGTCTATACATGTTCAAACTACAATTCAAACTGTATAATCTATGTCTATACATGTTCAAACTACAATTCAAACTGTATAATCTATGTCTATACTACGTGTTCAAACTACAATTCAAACTGTATAATCTATGTCTATACGTGTTCAATCTGCATAATCTATGTCTATACGTGTTCAAACTACAATTCAAACTGTATAATCTATGTCTATACGTGTTCAAACTACAATTCAAACTGTATAATCTATGTCTATACGTGTTTAAACTACAATTCAAACTGTATAATCTATGTCTATACATGTTCAAACTACAATTCAAACTGTGTAACCTATGTCAACTACATAATAACTGAGTAATAGTTACATAACAACTACGTTATCAAACTATATTCAAACTGTACCATTCTACATTCTTCTATGTTCAAACCTCATCACCATCTGTCCGAGAGTTAAACGACAATTCACAGAAAACTAAAGAATAAATCGGCGAGACGTTTGAAGACGTTTGACGAAACAAATGGAGGGGAATGAAAATATTGAAACGTTAATGAAGCGAGCTCGTTTGGTGGGACAAATCGGCGAGATGTTGGGAGCCGTTTGACGAAACGAAGATGTTGGAACGTTTCAAGGGCTCCATCCACGTTGAAATACATCGACTTTTACCACGTTTTGTGAAGTCTGCGTTAGAACCATGTGCGAGCTACATAATGTGTTGCAACATGTAGCGTGAAATCTGGAAATCGACGCGTCCATCGCGGCATATTTCAACGTGTATAGGAATCTTAAAACATTTCGTGAAACGTCTCCCAACATCCCGATTTATTTCACCTTTAATTTTGTATAGATTGTCGTTTAACTCTCGGACAGATGATGATGAGGTTTGAATATAGAATGATATAGTTTGATAACGTAGTCAGTATGTAATTATTATGCAGTTATCATATAGATGATATAGATTATATAGTTTAAATTGTTGTTTGAACCTGTATAGATTATATAGTTTGAACATAGAACGATAATATATATAAAAATCTTGAAACAATCCTGGTATAGCTGGTTTTTTTTTTTTTTGCCTGTTTCTGGTTTCTCAGTTTGAGTATAGATCAATTCCAGCAAGCTTTCAAGTTGAAAGACAAATTTAAAATCATGGATGATCATTCACAAAATCTTATTCTAAATACGAATTTTTGTTTTTTCTATTTAAGAGGATATATTACAATCATTTCTTCTAGAGAAAATATGAATAATTAGAACGACGCGACACAATGGCATGGAAGTATGATTTATTATATACATGTGGGTGACTGTACTGTGACTAATTCGAGAATGTAAAAAATACAAATATTAAAAATACTGTGTGTAAAAAGCGTGTAAGTTGAAGAACCACAACCACCTTATTATTTGATACAGTTTCAAAACGATCAAACAAACATCTCAGGTCTAATCTAAAATATCGCTGGTTCATTTTAATAATTTTACGTTATAATAAATTCTATCACGACGTTTCATTCTCAAAATTTAATTTCGCCCAAACTTTCCTTTATTTTCTCGCCGAAAGATGTGCCATTGGATCCATGGATTTGCGAGTTTGAGCGCGTTCGAGAGCATCACTCACCGCGAGAGGAATATATCCCGTTGAGAAGGCAGTTGCATGAACTCGCGGCGGACTCTCGCGAGACTGCTAACTGACGCATGCAGAAATAGAGACACGGTGCGCGGAGGCTCGGGATCAGACGCGATTATGAGCGTGTAAACCGGCCAACTTTGGCGGAACTTCACTTGAGAACGAAGTTGCCAACTGTGTGGCCCGTTCTCTGATTGCCGCTACCGCGGAATACGCGTGTTCCTGGCAGTTTGACGATTCAACCTGTCCAGTATTACAAACTGGCCGGCGATCGGTTAGCTAGTCTTTTGTTGAGAAGTTAGTTTCCTCGTTGGCCTCGTATCGTGAACCAGTGATTGAAGAGAATACAAAAGGCGAAAATAGATCCATCGTTTTCTAATTATCCATAATTTCCTCAATTTTTAACAATTATCCGTAATACTGCTTTTAAACTGCTCCGTCAAACTTTTTCTCGTTTCATTATACTCTGATTACTCCACTTGATGACACACATAGATGTATACATTCAATGATTATCTGAATCATCATAAAACCACAATCATAATGCATAGAATTGCAACGAGAAGACGGTGTAGAACACTCTTTCGAACACTGATTCTATTCTCAAATCTTCATCAATTCTAGTCGAATGAAATTTCAATATCTCCCGCACAGTCCGCCAATATATACCAATATATACCATCGTCCGCTAGCTTCGCCTATCCAAGAACGTAACGTGAACTTACGCTTGGATGAGGGACGCAGCGACGCAATACTGCTGGAGGCAGTTGGCTGCTAGGGTAATTAAGGTACTCACGATGTAAAAGGCGGGTGTATAAAGGCCGAAACCGGCTGCACCAGCGGCCAGCATCAACATTCTGACAGGTCGGCTTCCCAGGGGGCTGAGATCCACCCACGGCTGCCGCGGTGGCTTCGACGGGGTCTTCTTCTCTTTCAGCTTGCCACTCCGTTGATTCTTCACGTGTAACATGGCCCGTCGTTGCGGATGATAGAGGGAGGCGCTCCTGTAAATCAAGCCCAGGAAGAAGGCCAACGACAGGGCTCCGGTTACCGACTGCATCCCACGCTCCCAGCCCAGCTTTCTAAGGGAACAGACGTGTCGTTACAGAACGCTGTCATGTTCTCTTCTTTTTTTTTTTTTTTGCTTCCAGTCTGATTCTTACAGACACGTAGGGACACTTTTCTCCTTTTTTTTTTTTTTTTTAATAACAATAACTTATTCCATTTTCAAGTTTCGAAGGTTTAAGTTTCATTTAATTTTCTACGATTTTTGCGCGTAGCTGTAAGCTTGCAAGTATTGGATTGTACAATTTGGATATACGCGACAGTAGCTTATTTATTACAATGTTATAAAACTGCATTATAATTGACGTTGTATTGTTCTGTCGAAATTTTCTATTTTCTACATTCTCCTTCCTGACGTCTATGATCGAACCACCATTATATGTATTTAATTGTTACCCGACTCGAATTTAACAATTCGATCGTTAATAACATGCATTTCAGTATCGACTCGCAGTGAAACTCCCTCAAATTTGATTCGTCGGTCAATTATTCGCAATTCCAAACTTAATTCGTTTAATTTGTCTTTAAACTCCTGTTTCGTTTGTGTTTTGTTGACTTGATATTGATTGTTTCTGATTGATTGGAGAATATAATATCGGCGTACAATAAATAAAAAATTTCATTCGTATTTGTTACTCTGTTATTCCAACATTTGAAAAAAATTCTAAATTCCATTTGCTGTCCAAGTTTCAGTAAAATTTGCCAAATGACAAATTACATGAAAGAAAAAGAACCAGTTTTTTTATCACACGAATGAAGGGAAAATTTTTTCTTCGTAGTTTCCCCTCTTTCGAGTTTTACGCAGATGCGTGGAATCGGCGGTAATCTGACCAGCGAGAGTGGGATCCCCAGTTAAGAAAAGGGAAAATTCGCGGGTGCCCGGCTTCCGGCGAACAGAGGGAGTTGAGTTTCTGTTTCGTCGTTGGCTGAAAGCGACCGCAAACTTCATAACGCGACGTTTCGCCGCAACTTGAGCCAGTAAACTCCAACTAGCAGCGGGTCTCCTCCGCTTTTGTTTCGAATACGCATTTGTATTAAACTTTACACGTGGTGGATCGTTTGTAAAATTCCGTGAGAGAGAGAAATTTCTTTGTCTTTCTTTTTTTTTTTTTTTACTTTCTTCTGCAGGAAAAAAAAGACAGATGGTCTGGTCATTTTATTACAGTAGTGTGACAATTTTTCTACGAGCACGTTGCGAGAAATAATGGCACTGATAAACGTTACTCAGAAACCGGGGGAAACAGAATTTTTTAACTTGTCCGATAAGACGTGCAAGTGTTTAAATTCTCGCGTGGAGGTTTAGTTGTTCCGTCTGCACATTTTTTTAAATTTATTACCTTGCATTAGCTTGTGTATTTTTTTACTCTTTTCAATATTAGATAATATTAATTTAATATCTCTATTAAATCTGTAGAACGATTGTCTGTAAATACTTGAAAAATTATTTATCAAGACACATGTAAAGTATTTTACATTTGAAATTTGAAACATCGAAGTTACAATGTTAATTATTTCTAATGAAACAATGTAGAATAACACTTGTTCTCGAAAAGAAAATTGAAAAAGAATTTGGCAAAGGTCTGGGAACAATTTTAACGCTCGTTGACAAAAATAATTCACACTGATTTAAATGATTCTATCTTTTTCATCTATACTTTCTCGAGTCATACAAAAATAAAACGTTATTCACTACACAAGTTGTTTCAAACAGAGGAATAATCTATCATCACCAAAGGATAGCAGAGAAACTTAATATAAACCTTTAATATAAAAATAAATATGTAATTCCTCAAATGTTATCAGAATCCCCTTTAAATGTTAATATTTGTCCATCCGCGAATATTCTACGCGTATTTGTTCGTGTTGAAATATTCTATTTACGAAGGTTGGAACGTTGTTTGACTAGGTACAAGCATCGCAGAGCCTCGTGTGAGAGACTATCACATGTACCAGGAGTGGAGTAGATATATAGACCGTGTCTGACTCGACACGGGATTATTCTACTCGCCAATCGGTGTATTACCGCACGCTACTTGCACAGACGCTGACCTCTTCCACTTGTCCGTACACAAGCGTGACCAGTACTACTGACTTATCCTGGCTACGTAAATATGCTATCGCCTACATACGGAAAACGGTCTGTTGAACTTAAAATGCAACTGCTTATCGGTGCACGGGATTTGCTTTTGCCTCGTTCTGCTTAATTACCGGGACTCGCTGCAAACGCGCATCCCTCTTACTTTATCGAACAAGTACAAACAGATTCGCGTTTCTACGTTGCACAGGACTCATCTGCCTGTTAATTATTCTAGTTTTTGTTCCTCGGTGAAATTAATCGGACGAGAAATTCATTTTTTCTGGCAGAATAAAATAGACTTTTTTTTTTACGTTATTTTTTCGCGTTTCGAGTTATTTTTCAATTACTTATTTGTTTATTCTTTAATTTTTTTTTTTTTTTGGCAATTTAAAAATATCGAGCGCGACTAAGAGTTGCTGTGATAAAAACTCAGAGTTTCGTCTTCAGATCAAAACGAAAGACAAGATCCCAGTTATTCCCAATTATTGAAATTTGTCTTGAAACTCTAGAAACTTCATTCTCAGACGAGAATAAATCCATTTACGGAAAACACTCCTTTCGAGTCTTCAAGAAACAAAGTTCCAACAAGGAACGATCGTCGAGGAATATCTAAAGTAAAATCAGCGATTATCGTTGATTTCCGAGCGAAAGCTTTTCGCTTTAGAAAAAAAGACATTTACAGAAGGCAAATTATATATCCATCCAGTAGCTCCACGTTCTTCCCGCCAAGAAAGAAAAAAGAAAAAAAAGAAAAAGAAAAAGAAAAAGGATAAAAAAGAAAGAAAGAATCGTCAGTTCCGCGAAGCCCATTCTTGCGATATCACCAGCCAACGAACGACATTTCATCGATCGGCCAACAACGGCGATTGGCTCGATCATTGATTGATGGACTCGTCGAATAGCGTTTGATTGATGGCGGCCTGGCGTTTCGCTCGGCTCCTCTCCGTATCATTTCGACGTTTGGTAACTTGTGCGCGGTTTCAGACGCGAGATACCTCGATTAATGCTCTCTCTCTCTCTCTTTTCTTTTTTTTTTTTTATTTCCCTCCCTATGGTTGAACACCACCGCCTGCCAGCGAGGCAGATTTATCGGGCTGCGTGGGACTGTTGCGCGAAAAATTCCCCGTGGACGCGCGTTGCCCTTGGTTACAACGAGCCGTGGAAACGCGTGGGCGTTGAAATCCACGCGCTCGACGCTTGCGAACACCCTGCTGGCTGGCTGTAACCTACATTTCGCTGCCCGATGCGGCTCCTCCGGCGAACTTTCGTATCAAGCGAAGAACCCCCGTTCCGGTGGTGAAACGCTCGCTGTAAAACTCTTGCGGTTTCGCTTGGGCAGACGATTATTTTTGTTGGTTAATGGTTTTCGGGCGGCGAGGAGGGAGAGAGAGAGAGAGGGCGGGGGGGGGGGGAAGGAGAGCCTTAGTCTCTTTAAGAATATTTGCTCTTTCTCTTCTTTCGACTTTTATCCTTTTACCTTTTCCAGTTTGTTTCAAACGTTGTTGATCCAACAAACATACTGCGGCTTTTCATTACTGCACATAATTAAACACGTATCATTTAAATCATTAAAGACAGATATTTACATTATTCAGTGGGTTGATATGAGGAAGGAATAGATAGATATTTGCATCATTGTGATTAAACACTTATTATTTAAATTGTTAAACTTATAATTAAACACGTATTATAATTAAACACGTATTATAATTAAACACGTATTATTTAAATGATTAAAGGTAGATATTTGCATCATTGTAATTAAGCTCTTATTATTTTAAATTGTTAAACTTATAAGCACTTATTATTTTAAATTGTTAAACTTATAAGCACTTATTATTTTAAATTGTTAAATTTATAAGCACTTATTATTTTAAATTGTTAAACTTATAATTAAACACGTATTATTTAAATGATTAAAGGTAGATATTTGCATTATTGTAATTAAGTACTTATTACTTAAATTGTTAAACTTATAATTAAACACGTATTATTTAAATGATTAAAGGTAAATACTTGCATCATTGTAATTAAGCACTTATTATTTAAATTGTTAAACTTATAATTAAACACGTATTATTTAAATGATTAAAGGTAAATACTTGCATCATTGTAATTAAGCACTCATTATTTAAATTGTTAAACTTATAATTAAACATATATTATTTAAATGATTAAAGGTAGATATTTGCATTATTGTAATTAAGCACTCATTATTTAAATTGTTAAACTTATAATTAAACACCTATTATTTAAATGATTAAAGGTAGATATTTGCATTATTGTAATTAAGCACTCATTATTTAAATTATTAAACTTATAATTAAACACGTATTATTTAAATTATTAAAGGATATTTACATTATTCAGTGAATTGATACCAGGAAAGAATGTACAAAGTTCGAGCAATATTCAGGGGATTACTTAAATAATCACGAATATTGGCTTGCCATTTTTCTGCCCATTGAACAAATTAACTTCGGCGTTTGTCGATGCACGCACTCGACCGTGAGTATAATTTTTCTGTCCGTTAAACAAACTGATAAACGTCGACGTTTATCGCGCGCGCATTCAACCCGTAAAACTTCCTAAATTTGAAAATTCTTACGATCAACTTTCGCAACTTTCTTTCGTAATCTGTGATTTCCCTCCAAGTTCGTCATTGTCGTAGAATACCTATCAAAACTACACGCATTAACCACTTGCGCTGGCAACCGATTGCGGACCATAACGAGTGACCAAATCGTATACAGTAATTTCGTCGGTACGATATGACTGGATAGAAATTATCGAGAAGTAACAAATTTAGTATTTGTTTTGCCCGGGTTATAATAAATATACTTAAACATACTTAAATATTATATAATATTTATATTTAAGTGTATTTACTTTTCAGTACATATATTTACTATATTTACTGTTATATATTTACTTTACTATTATAGAAGTAATTTTATTAAATTTACTATTCGTTTTGCCTATTTCGTTTAAACACACTCGAGAACTGAGAAAATATTACAATTTTTGGAAGAAAAGGTTCTCGACGTGCGCGTCGTTCCAGCGCATGAGGGTTAAATCAAGCAACAGTCCCCCACCCGGAAGTACCTAAACAACCGAATTAAACCGATTTACGCGCCGAGAGACCTTTCTCGCTGAGACACTATCGGGAACAAACGTTGAAGCAGGATTTAGCGACGTGATTCGTTAGGAAGCGAGGAAAAAAAGCAGGAGGGCAGGGTTTAATTGCGTTCCGTGTAACCGAGACGATGAAACCATTAAACGGTGGCAGCGTGTACGCGCATAGCGTCGTCAGCCAGTGGTATAAGTGCGGCATTAGCGCGACACGTGTTACGCGCACGGCACAGCGATCGTAATACCTCGTCACCAGTTATTTATTGCGCCTGTAACCTCGTGCAACGTAAGGCGATACGTTTCTCTTGATACGTACAAGGACACACGCGTGCCAGAGGATGGGAATAAAGGTGGAGGAACGTTGTGAACATCGACCGACGAGGCTGATCTTTGTTCGTGAAGAAACGAAGTTGATTTTCGTTTTTTTTTCTTCAGTTGTTCTTGAAGATGATTTTCTTTTTAGTTTTTGCGAGTCGAGCTCGCGGATTATGAAGTTTCTTGAAATTGGACGAAGATCTTCCAGTTGGAGAGAGCCATAAAGATAATGGCGAAGAAAGTTTCGACTTCAATTTCTTTCGAAAATTCGTGTAATTTCACCTGCCGACTGTATCGCGATGATTTTAGATTTCATGAACTCTAACAGTGAGTACTCGATTCTAATACAGTAAAAGATTTTAGATGAATTCTAACAGTGAGTACTCGATTCTAAAATACATTATGTATATTGTACGGAGATTGTATTTTATAGTTTTACCGAATTGCGCAGAGATTTTAGAGATATGAATTCTAACGTGAGTTTTTGATTCCGGCACGCAAGTATTATTTGAAATAAATAGAATTACATAACTATTCTAGAAAAAGAAAAAGAATCTGTATTTATAATTTCACGTGTATATGACTTTATGTCAAACAAATTTGTACAAAATACAAATGCCAATGCGAGTTCTTGACTCTAGTCTACTTTGAGACTTTTATTTTTAACTTACGTTACCATATAAACGCTGTATTTGTAATATTTCACCGTTTTATCGACTTTTAAAATAACAAAACGATCTCAATTTAGTAGCTATAATATGCGTCATATGCATCCCATTAAATACAATCGATCGATCATTTTTATTTTTCGATACACTCGAGTAAACTTCCTACGAACAGAATTAAGTTCACTAAATATTCGTATTCGTCGACGAATACGAATTCGTTCAATTAGCCGGAAGCGTCGTGCACCGGCTAGGAACGACACCATTTCATTTTCTAAACAGAACGAACCAACGAACGAACCTTTCGTTCCTGTAATAACGATGGAGAGTTTCGTTTGTAATTTTGTAATTCGCCGAAACGTTACGAGTTTATTCGATACCGCATGTTACCATTTGTTTGGCCGTCGTTCGGAATTCTGAAATTTTGCACGGGCCAAGTGCTTGTTGAAATCTGCAGTTGGTTAAGTGGTGGAACGGAGTGTTTGCGAATGGCGAGTTTGTTGAGCGACCGCTCATTTTCGTAAATAATCGTCTCGAATTGCCTGTATTAACCGCGACTATTTGCTTTCGATGTTTAACTGTACATTTTCTGGGCCGATTCTGATTCTTGAAAATTATTGCATAATAAATTCCCCTCCCCTTCATCATCATTATATAAATATAGAAAAATTAATAAATATATAAAAATTATTTATTCATTAATAAATATAGAAAAATTCTGCATGAAATCGTGCAATAACTTGTTTCGTTTTTTCATCATTAATTACACGTATAAATAAATGAAATTATACAATCATTATGCATGTATGTAATTATTCATCGTAAATGTAATTACACATATTTTTATTGTGTAATATTATATATGTTCTAGATAATTTTTCAGTGAACACATTATCAGAAAGAATGAAACTTAAGTTGAGAAATTATTAAAGAGGATGCAGTTTTATCTGATACTGATAATTATTCAGAATCAACGACATTACTATTATAATCAATGCTTGGCTAAGAAAATTATATACATAAAATAAATAAATTAAAATTATATACATTAATTATATATATATATATATATATATATATATATATATATACATATAATTAATATAATAAAATAAATTATATTAAAATATATTAAATATATAAAATATATATTAATTTATATATATTAAAAATTATAATACATATAATAATATATAAATACATTGAAAATTGATTCAGATACATCCGGTTAAAAGTTTGTTTAAAAATCGTGCAATTTACTTCGTAAGATCATCATGGTAGTTGCATTTTGAAAAATGCTGTCTTCTCCCTTCTTTTAGCGAAAAGATCCGCCAAAAGTCAGTCAGGGAAATACCGAAAGAGAAAGGGGGGGAAAAATATTGGTAGCGAAGAAGCACGAGAGAGAAATTTCACACGTTATTTAACCGTCACCGTTACGTGTTGGCTTAACTCGAGAGTACACGGTAAAACCGAGTTACTTTCGGAATCGAGTTTGCATCTGGATTATTTCTCCCCCACCATCCCCGCGAAGAAACTCGGTACCACGCACCTGCAATGCAGTGGACTCGCCCGGTGTGAGCCATGGATCACCTGTCTGCACCGTGGAAAAGCATTAGCCCGCTGGCAAATGTCTACGAGAGTCGTGTCTGATCTCTCGACGATTAGGCTACCCTGACGACAGCAACGAGTCAGTTGTTGACTACCCTCGAAATCTCCCCTTGTCCATTTACTCGTTTTCGTTTCGCTGAATTTCGAGAGATTTCCTTTTTCCTTCTTCCATCGAAATTACGCGCGGAATGAAAATTCTACGGAATCTTCTGGCGCGCTTGATTGAAAATTTCATCGAGTCCAGGCACCTGTTTTTATTAAAATTTCAGCCCAGGCTCGGAGATTCGAATTTTCTCTCTGGATCGGGGAATATTCCTCGCCGGCGCGAGGAATTCTCGGTTTTTTTTTTTTTTTTTTTTTTTTTCGAGAAATTTGAAGAAAAGAATTTGAGACATATGAAACAATCCACTTTAGAAGTGGAAAGCATCGGATAGAAATTATATCTAAAAAGTTAAGAAACAGAAAGAGAAAGATAAATCCATCTTCCAGTCTATTTCTAGATAGGAGATTTTTCCATAGAAAATCTTACAAAGAAAGAAATTTCTTCGAAAAATTGCAAAGGAAAGAGTCTTTCTACAAAATTCTAGATCCCTACAATGCCTGGAAAAGCTAAAAAGGAAACATGCATTTTAACCGATTCCCTATTACCCGATACAGATCTCAGCCAATTCCCTATTTTATCATCGCAGATTCTTTTTCCAGAGAGCTGCTCAATTATTTAATCCTCCGGCTGATTCGCCATTCTCTTTGCCCTCGGTTGAACCTTGTTCGTAAAACGAACAGTTGAACCAGCCCTCTATTCCACTGTCCATCGTTCTGTTCCATAAATAATTATCTGGCCCGGGTTTCTGGTTAAACATCAGTTAATAAATCATCCGTGTCCTTTCACGTGTTCGGCCATCTTACGAAACACCGCAGTCCCTGGAGTGCAGCCCAACTCGATCACAGGGTCAACGCAGTCGTAACTTAACCTGACCGGTCTCCTCCCTCGCTCGTCCAAAGTGGAATTGCAAATTTGACTTACTCCCTCTAAACACGCAGGTACCACCTGCACGTGATGAAGCAGAGACTTTTATATACGTTTTCTTTTTCTTTTTTTCCTCTCTCTCTCTCTCTCTCTCTTGCTATTTTCGGCCGGGTACAGGTCGACACGCAATACTTGAGAGGGCCCCACATCACCGAGGTGGATCGCGAGGGCCTGGAAACCGCAGTGCTAGGTCTGGAGTTTCGTCTGCGTACGAAGCATTTCAAGAGGGGGGACCTGAAGATCAAATGCCTGGCAACGATAGCGACCGTATATTGGAAATCGAACGAGCTCAGCATAGAGGGTGAAAGGCCGCTGAAGATGCCGGTCATGGAAAGCAGGGAGACAAGGGCGCAAGGCCACACGCACGCCGAGCATATCTTAGGAGGTAAGCGATATGACGAGAGCTGCTCGGTCGGTACAGTCATTCGCGAAAGTAGAATGCGGACGAAAGAACACTACGAATATTAATCATGTATCAAATATTACATTTTTGAGTATATCAGTGACTGTAATCTATATATTTCACGTTTATTCATTCGTTTTGTTAAATACTTATAATTTTTTTTTTTTTTTTTGTTTGTCTATCGCTATACTCTACTAGTAATGAGGTCAGGATTGTATTGGTAAAGTTCGAAACAAATTTGAAAATATTCGCAAAAGCTGTTCGAGATATTCAGCGCGCAGATATGTAGATATTAGTTGCAATTTTGTTGAAATATCGCGTTTGGAGCACGAAGTGAATAATCCATCTTCTTCGGTCGGAAACTTTTATGCGCCACTGTATGCGCGAAGTAGAATCATAAAAAAGTTATTCTTTGGAACGAGAGGCATCGAAAATATAGAACGACGGTTTTTCGTGGAAGCTTTCATTCTGAAGGAAAAGCACTTTGAAGAGATCGCTTAAGGACGCGTGCACTTGGCGGAGAAGCTCCAGCGGTTCCCATTCCCCATCATTCCATGTGGAAATTCGTTTGAGAATTATCTCAATAGAAAATTATTCGAAGATTAGTAGATTCTTCAATTGTTTTACTTGACGAATTAACGTATAGATTAATTAAATAAGGAAATTAAAGTTGTGCAGCTATCTCTGTTCTGAAAGTTCCAGTTTCCATATGTCGATAAAAGTAAATCCTGTCGGTAACAGAAATCATGGTCGATAATTTATCGATCGAGTGAATTTTTCAATCGAAATGGACGAAACATTTGTTTCAAGGATATGCTAAATTCTCTACAGAAACATGAGAATCACTGTTATACTTCGGTTAACCCTCGGACGGCGAACTTGGGGACAGCGATGGCTAGGTCAATTTTGATATTGGATATTTCACGTTTACGCATTCTAATGACATATTCACATGTTATCGTTTTATCACATTGTACAAACATTATTTCTACATATTTCTAAATATTATTTTTACATTGAAGTGAATATCAGAGAGTCACGAATGTTATTAAAAAATCATTATTTCCTACATTTTTATTTTTACTTAGCTTCACGTACATTGTTCAGTATATTACGTTAAAAATTCCACAAAACTTATGATCGTAATAACCGTAATCCAGGCGGTTAAACGTAAAAGGCTTTTAAACCATTTTTCTCTTAAACAAAGTACCAAAGAGAAAAGATAACTTTAAAAATTAAAAAAAAAAAAAAAAAGAAGGAAGATAGTTTTTCAAAAACATTCAGAACTTCAAATCTTTCGTAATTTTACAATTGGTAATCCTAGTATTGAATCCACAACGATATCTACTAATTCCCAAACGGATTTTCATCCTTGAGGGGGACGGAGGTTCCTCCAATTTCTCACCCCTCGCTACCAGCACTGAGACATCAATCGTCAAGATCGATGTCAAGAAAAAAGGAGCACCTGTCCGCCAGGAAATATCGAGACGAAATATCGTTAGGAAAAACTGTGACAACGAATCAGAGGCACATTCGTTTGCTGACAATTTGCTGACTTATGGTCGCATGCCCGGCGAACGTCAGTAAACCTTTGTGTCAGTAGTCGGTGGACGCAATTCCCTCGCCAATATCGATCGAATTAAACCAACGATACGTTCCGATTTTTCACTCGAATTTCCACCGTTCGTTTTACTTTCTCTCTCTCTCTTTCTCTATTTTATTTTATTTTATTTTATTTTTTCGCCTCTGATTTGTCGATGAAAATTGCACGAAATTCAATGCTTTTTCATTTCTGTTGCAGGAAGCGGAAGCAGCAGCATGTTAGCGCCGTGTATTTTCCTGCTGGTGACGAGTATATTGATTCTACGATAAGAAGGACACGTGATGCGGTGCCGCGTCCTTTTCCTCATGCTCATCCTTTTCAGGCCTCCAAAGCGAGTTTTATGGAGATTCCTGGTGTACTAAATTATCCGTGTTATTTCTATTTTTTATAATCGCAGTTAGTGGAAGTTAGCGACGACATAGGCGAGAGAATATACTTAACAGAATTATACATCAGTATATTAGAGATTAGGGTACGGGAGGGGTAAATGTAAATTCGTACTTATTGAGATCGGGACGTTAAATCTCTGCACATCTCTACGTACATACGTTCGCGATTTTTATACGTTTTTCGACGCTTTTGCTCTTATTAATGTCTCTTCGCATATCTGTGACATATCTTTGATAACTCATAGCTGTTCTTCAACACTATAACGACCGATTGATCATCAAATTAACAACGTATGGTTTTTACTATATTTGTAGAACAATCCAGTAACTTCAAGCATGTAACAAGTAAGAAAATAGATAATCAAATCAATTGTCTAAACTAAGATGCAAAATGATCATCTTGAATGCTCAAAAGTTCTTGTTCTGTTGTAATTTCGTTTTTCTTAATAACGCAAAATTGATCTTACAATTCATTTTCAATATGAATTTAGTAGTAAATAGTTTACGCTGACGTGGCGCAGGTATAGCGCCAGCGGTCGTCATAGTGTTGAATTAAATACATATACAGATTTACAAAGCTAGATGCGCAGAGATTTATCGTCTCGTTGAAGAAAATACTATCATAGTTACTTAAAAAAATCATCTTTTTTATTCAAACAATCCATACAATTTAAAAAGAGAAGTTCACAAACAAATTTACGTTCATCTAAATATCTCTTTGGACTTTCAAAAGTGAGAAATATCAAACTCTTATGTATTTTTCTTTTCCTCTCTTTCGTCATTTACTATTAAAAATTAAAAAGAAAATCGCAAGCATGAACGAACGAATAATAATCAACCGGAATGAATGAATGAACGAACGCCGAGTATATTTATATATTCTAATTGTACATGAGTGTTTCTATCGTCCAGTCACGCGAGAGAACAAGCAAGATTTTAGCCCTGGTGAGAGTGTTCTCTTTCGTCGTAGCTTTTATCAATCTAGTCGCTATTAATCATCCGCAGAGATATGTTATCCTAGAAGTTTATTGTGAGCTGTGTGTATACGCGTGTGAATGTAAGGTGTGTTTTACCAAAGAACATTTTGCGCTAAATAACATTCCTAACTGTTAATTACAAGTGAAATACACGCAGTGGCATAAAAGAAACATGCCGCTCGTCGCATTATGGTATTTTACTGTAACAGCACTCTGTACATATGTACATAAATCGAACTTTTATCTTTAACTTAACGTTCTGATAAATAAAACGGCGTTTACGTCGACGGATCAGACATAAGTCTCAGTTTTGTTTAACGGTAGCTCTTTAATTGTACTATGTCCGTACGCGCGTGTATGTGTATCATCCTTATTGTAAATACTAAGAAAATCAAAAAGTGGAAGTGCTGGAGAGGCATCTGTTGATGAAAAATTGATGCCGCTTCTTCTGGGGCGACCCGGTGAAAAATTTGGAGATCTTCTGCTCCCCACGATTCTCTTCTTGCTCCACTTCTTCCCATTCAATGGACAGAGCGTACGACTGCAGGATCCTTTCAGCAGGCGACCAGCTGAACCTGACAATACGCGGGAATCCAAATATATCGTCTACATTGTCGAATAGCCACCTTTTAGTATCCGGATCATTCGGGTATCCGCTTCCGTACATGCTCGAGATCGTCCCTTCGCGAAACTGCCAATTTTTTAAAGAGTTGTCGCGCAAAACTTTGGCGCAAATACTGGCAGCACTGACGATAGGATATATAGAGTCGGCTTTCTTCGCAACGATTACCTTTAAATTCGGGAAAAGCTTCTTCAGCTTAGCCTGATACGCCTCCGGTCTGCCTACCGTGTCTACGTACAATTCTGCGACATTTACACCTCGCTTGATCGCCAATTGCGTTAGTTCAACCGCGGATTTCATAGAGATATCGTTCAGAGAAAATTTGACACGCCGGTACATGCTATTCGCAATGATATTAGGCGATATGACTTCTACCGCCCAACCTATTTTCTTGCGGTGTTGACAAATTTTATTGAAAATTTTCTCTCTCTGTTCCTCCGTCAAAACCTTGGAGTCTGCACAGCCCAAGTCCACGGGAAGGTACTTTTCTGACAAGGGTATGTAGGCAATTCCATATACCATAGGACCTAGGGTTGGTCCACGTCCAGCCTCATCTATACCAAGCTGACACGGTTGCTCCTTACATATTTGTGGTATCTAGGGGAAATTTCAAACAGAATTCAAATTAGGAACTTTATATGTTTAGAAACTGAATTATCTGTGAAGGAACATTTATTACAGTATATTACTAAGAAAATCAATAATTAAATCTAATAATTAAATATATTAGTTATTTATTTGTAAGAAGTCTATCTCCTATTCTTATATTATAAGGCACACACACATATACATGTGCATAGTTATTGAACTGCTCTTTTTCAATTATACTTGTGAGATTTAATACAAAATTTCATTGCTCTTGCAAGTGATGCTTCAGATTTAACAGTGATTCTATAACCTTATGTTTACAAAAGAGCAACTGAAAGTTACATAATGTCAAAACAGTCGCACGACTGTTTTAAACAGTGTTTGTTATACTTTTTTTCAATTATTAACAGACTCAAGTCAAGTTAGTGGTGACATCCACTAATATTTTGTTAACCTCAAAATAATCTACACACCATGGTAATTTCATGAGAATAACAACTGAAGTAAATCATAGAGAAACAAAAGATTTCGCTTTTAGGATAAATAAAATATATTCTTATTTCTTATATATACGTACGTCCGACGTGTAAACTTTATTGACATCATGATCCCAGCTTTTGAAAAACGAGGCTAGATCTTCCTTCCAGGTAATGTTAACATTTGTCTCGTAAATTTTCACCCAACTTTCCGGGATGGTTTCCTTAATTTCGTCCATCATGTCCTCGTCGTTTCTCGTAACGTTCACGCGGTTTTTCCTTCGACCTAACCTTAAAATTCAAAGACCTGTATTCAGACTAACCGCCAAAAATCTGTAAACACCAGTATCGATAGGTCGAGTATCGAAACATAACGAACGATCCTCGGTTGATAATGAGCATCACACATTGAAATTGCAACCGAATAGTCAGCAAAATCGGGAAATTTACGTCTGATCCGGGGTAATCGGCGAACGTTTGGCCGAATATCTCGAGGAGGGAGAAAGGAAGGGAAAGAGCAGAGATATCGACGGCACGCCTGTATCGATAAAGAATCGTCCAGTATCGACCTCTATATTTGCACGTTAAGGGATTTCTGACTACCTGTGTGCATGTGTGCCCGTGTCCTCGGTAGAAATAGTTGGATGACGCCGTGTGTTAGTAATATCGTGTATCGCAAAATATAACCTCACAATAAAATGCTCGAATCCCTATCGGTGTCGTTAAAGGTACTACTCTTGAGACAAATTTGATTTTACTCAGTCGCATTGGCCTAAGGACGCCCAGGCGTGCACGTTACACCATGAAAGTGATCGTGAAGAAGCTTCAAGGGAAAGAATGTGTTGTTGACGTGAGTAATCAGCAGTTTGAGTCTCTTTTCCTTTTTTTTTTTTTTCTTTTCTTTCTTCTCTATTTACAACGAGATACGTCCCGCGATATACGATATTTCGCCGTTGGCGACGTTCAAAAAATCTCTCTAACCCGTATGTAGAATTCATTTTTGAGAACATTTACCTTTCACGTGTTTTATTATTTATTTGTAAAATAGTAGTAACATTGTAATTACTTTCCGTTATGCAGAGTTTGTTGAAGCTAGATTTAACTTGCAATAACAATTATTATATATATATATATATATATATATATATATATATAAAATTGATCATAATTATTGTCAATTAATCAATGATTTGAATATGACACAGTTCTTTAATTGATTAGTTTCAGGTTTTGTGCTGTTCTAATTATTAAGTTTAATAAATTTTCATTTCCATAGATTACACCTTCAGACACAGTTCTTCAGTTAAAGCACAAAGTTAGCGACCTCTTGGGTATAGACGTTCCACAACAGAGACTGTTGCTTACGGGCAAAACATTAGCTGGTAAAGTTCGAAATATCCTATCAATTATCAGAATTTCAAGTTTAAAGTCAAATGCCAACAGAATTATAACTATCTTTCAGATGAAAATCCACTAAGTTTCTATCCAGGCATCAAGGATGGGAGCAAGTTAAATCTTTTGGTTATTAAAAAGGCGGAAGAAGGATCCAGCGAAGGAAGAGCTTCGCATAGCAAGTCTGGCACGCATCTCTTACGAGATGAGATTTCTAGAGTTTTGAGGCATTATTACACAGAATCAGAAACGGAGTCGATAATTAATGAGTTGATAAAAGACCTGAAAAATAAAGTGAATAACCTTAGCTACGATGACTTAGAACGACTAGCGACCGCACTCCTTCAGGACCAAGAAAACATAGCTTAAGACGAAAAAACTTCAGTTTCCCAACTTCTCTCGCTTATTATTTGATTATTGTAATACACTTTTATTTAATTAAAGAAGACGTTGCCTCATTGTACCCTGATAACCAGTAGTATATTTTAAATGATCGTAAAGGGAAAGACGTGCAAAGAACAACATATAGATGTATTAAAAAGTCGATTTTATTAAAACTTACATAAAGTATATTAATAGTAATTGCACATTAATTAAATTTCAAAAATCATCGGCCAAGTCCAGCTGGCGGAAATATCGCGCAACTAAACATATAAATAAATTCAGCGCCCCTATTTCATGTACTTCCAATTTCGTCTATAAAAATAAAAGAAAAATGAAAGAAGTAGATAATATAAAGTTTCATAAGGAGAGGGTTTCAACTTCGTATATATGACTATTGATAACATTAAATAAAAACAAAAATCAGAAATCTGTAACCTCTCAGTTGAAGAACGATGCCCACATAGTAAATTATACTACATTTTATACCACATTTTTATACAATGTATCAAATATAAATTATTCATTTCATAGAAAATGCCATTCCAAAATTTTTATGTATTAATGAATTTTAACGTTTTTAAAGTGTATCTTATACTTAAATCTGTTTTATGTTTTCAGTAAATGCAAAGAGATACAGTTAACTTAGATGCCATATATTTAAAGCACAGAACTTTCCTTTCAATGCGCTGAAGTTGAAACACTCTCTTTGTGAATTAACTACAAAACTGTCAGTGAGCAATTTTTGTCTGTTTTTAATGTAAGTGATAATTTTTCTGTTACTTAAATTACTTCTTTAACTCACTTCCCGATTTGTGTTAATGATAAATGTAACATACACATATGCAATAAAATTGATTTGTTAACAGATAAAGAGTAGTGTTAGTATTAATTACCGATTTTGCACGCATGACAGAACAGGTTCTAGCCAGTGAACGCAAACAGGAACATGTTTCTGGAATTAGTGGCATTTCCAAAACAACCAGTAATGCGTATAACCATTGACCCAATTCATATTGAATCTTTTCCAATCTTTCTATGTATTCCACTAAATATTCCAATATTTGTTCTATCATTGGCTGATTTAAAGAAAAGATAACATCCAATGTTGGAAGAACTCTTGTCCCTTCTGTTTCATTACCAGAACAGAATTTGATCCAACCTTTCTCATCATCTATACTGGGCTGTAATATTAAAAACGTATCAAAAACTACTACTAATATATCTTAACCATTATCTTACCATATCAATCTCTGGAGGTCTCCATTGGCGCTTTGATGTTTGAATTTCATTCTTTAATTGGCTTATGTATAATCTGATATTGGAGAAGTCTGACACTTGATATAACTGCCAATCAAGCGTAGGGCCAAGTTTTGGTGGTGCCTCCACACAACCTGATAACTTATAACATTGTATAATTATTGTACATTATCCAAATTTTGACTAACACACAATTCTTATTTCTATAAACAATTTTGAATCATCATTAGCAAACTTACAGGTTCAATATCGATCGTAGGCTTTTTAAAATGTTTCCTATCAATGTCAGCTACTACAATATCAGCACAGTTCTGTGTCTCTATCCTGTAATAACACCAAGTAATATTATTTGTTCATTTTCTAATAGTTTCCAGACATTTACTTACATCACTCTTTTGATATATTCTTCTCCAGATGTGGGGGGTAAGGATAAATTAATATCCTCCTCAATTTCTCCAACAAAAAACACTGGCTGCTTTAAATAATCAGTCATCTTGTTTCTCATTTAATAAATATCTCCAAATTTCACTTGATAAAAGTAATTTTATTTATCCAATATTAAATTATGAATATATTATGTTGTGCCTTTCAGATTAGGTTATGGTCACCTATGATATAAAGTTTATGTTACAATCCGAATATTGAAAGAAAGTAATTAGTAAATAATTTTAAGGAAGGTATATTAGATTTATGCAATTACAATACAAAGTATATAACGTGTGCATTTTAATTAACAATTTTTATTCATTCGTATAATACTCAATTGCTCCAAGTACGAATTAAAGTCAGGTTAGACTTATTGTTAGTCATTCAATGCTTGAAGCATAGAAGAAATAAATCTGTACACCAACTAACTAACTTTTAGATTTGGTGATTTGTTTCTTTACGTATCGCAATTGACAAAAATGGTCAGCATCAGAGTTAAATCGCTATTAAATGAATTTTCACTACTTTACTATCTTTCAAACGAGTTTAAAACAAAGAGAAATAAATCTTGACCACCCAACCTTCCTGGCGCTTCAAAAAAATGCCAGAATAGTTCGTGTCCATTCAAACATGTTTTAGAATGATTCTAGTTCATTTTACAGCTTTCTGGGGAATTTAAAAACGCCAGAAAAGATTCGTGTCCATTTTAACAGGCTTCGGAGTGGTTCTTGCCTATTCTAACATGAGGGATGGTTCCTGTCTATTCTAAAGCCTTCTACCAATAAGTTTAAAAACACCCGACCGAACAGTGGGTTTTCTTTATTTTATGTTATTGTAAATTATTTCTTAGGATTCTAGTGCAGTTGACTAAAATGATTCGTATTATTTCGTAAATTATGTGTTTTTTTATTATTTAGTTTTCTATCATTAGTTAGTATTAATGGTAAAAATATTGAGTGAATTATTTGCTATTAGATTGTTTATTTAGATTAAATATTTAGTGTTTTAAGTAATTTTATTTTTCACACGTGGTTACAGCGTTTATACAATAACGGACTTATTGTAACACTAATGCAACAAAGATAATGATTGCGAGTGTCGCAGCAGGGAAGGCGCACAGGCAGCACGATAGAGATATACTTACGGACGTGGACGTCGGTACTCAAGAAGAACTAATAATTCGTGACGCGTCGGAGTCGGGTCTTATATATACCCCCGACTCTTTTGTGTCTTTTCCAGGTCGGAGTGTAGAAGTTTTTATTGTTTAATTGGGAACTGCACGCACGGTCAAAGGCCATGAGGGACATTTTGGCAATTACTTCATGGCCTTGTACTGGGTCCAAAGGTCCACGTCGTTGAAGGCGACATATTTATTTTATAATTTATGGTGCTGCCTGGGTCGTGTCCCCTACAAAATACTGTATTATATTATTTGTAACTTTTTATTTAAAGATAATTTCTTCCGCTTCTGTTTTATGGATTCTATTTCCCTCTACATCTATTTTCTTCATCCTCTGCTTTCTCCTTTCTTTTCGATAATCGATGCAATGGTGATGGATAATACTTGAAGTGCAGGACAAGACTGTTTCGTGAGTCTCTTCGGTGACATGTGATAAGTCAAGCTATACTTAAATCATAAGCGAAAAACTTATGATCGATTTTGTCAGGGGCACGTCCTTTTAAATTATTCCTAATCCTTCGTTCAGTATGATTTATAGTATCTTTATAGCGTGACTTTATAGCGTTACCATATGAAGGGCTTTAAATATTGATGACGATGCGAGGATAATGTAGGAAGTGATGATGTGGGTAAGGTGAGGAAAGGTTGTGCGTTTCGTCTCAGAAGTCGCTGCCAAGACTCATCCAGTGGGGCTGATGGCAGCGACCCCTTTAACCCTAGACGCTTGTTTTTTCAAACTACTCGCTAGGCTGGACGGCACCCATCCTAGCGATGTTCCGCACTATGCTTAACATCGAATATCGTTAGACTTCGACACTAGGCGCACAGCCACTTGCGGCTTGTACAAGTCGGTGTTCGAAACACGTACTCGAGGGACTGTAGGCCGCTACACATACATAGAAAAATCTAAAAGATATCAACAATTAAATCTCAATATTTTCTCAATACCAAGGTTTCATAAAAATTTTTACACGTGAATTTATCACGTAAATTGGAGTAATTTCAAATTTACGTAAGAATGTCCACGAACCAATAAGCGCTTTCTATCTAGAGATACAATAAGATGATCAGCCAGTTTATTCCAGAACTAAAATGGTCATTTATCATATAAACAGGATGAAAACAGAAACGGAATGAAAGTAGTGGTAACACAACATACAAATAACAATGACTCCTCTAAAACAGCTTTCTACCTCGAAGTTTTATTCTTCTTTTTCTTGTATAGAAACAAACATTTAAACGTTTGATCAGTCACGAGTAAGCAGTATGTATATGAATAAAGCAACAACGAACAAAACAGTGAGCGACTAGCATAATTATAACCATAAATTTTCACATTATAAGGCTAGATGGCGGAGCGGTCGTCAAAAATAAAGCAATTGAATTTCCAGTTACAAAAACATTAAATTAAAACAATTAAGATGCCATTCGCTAAATTAGACCACCAGCATTTCCAGTGCTCCAATTTAAAACAAAAATGTACGAATCAGTATTCGTAGAAATAATTAGTACTCGCACAGACAAGGAATATCCTGAGGACAAGAAGGAACCTCTCGAAAGGAACTGCTGAAAACATCAATTTTGTATCAGGAGAACAAACGAAGAAGTGGCATGACAAATTCAGTCGGTGGGCGAGTTCCAGATACAGATGTTTTTCAAAAATTTTTGAACGGTAATATTTGGTGAACGAGCGACAATTTCTGGCTGCAAATTCGGATTTTGTATCAGGAGAACATGATACTCGAAGAGGTGGCACGACAAAGTCGGTCAGTGAGGGGTTCTCCTGATACAGAGGTTTCTCGTAAAATATTTGAACTGTGATATTTGGTGAACGAGCAGGAATTTCTAGGTGAAAATTTGGATTTTCTATCAGGAGAACATGATACTCGAAAAGGTGGCACGACAAAGTCGGCCAGCGAGGGGTTCTCCTGATACAGAAATTTTTTAAAAATATTCAAATTGTAATATTTGGTGTACGAGCCGGAATTTCTGGGTGAAAATTCTGATTTTGTATCAGGGGAATATGATACTCGAAGAGGTGGCACGTCAAAGTCCGCCAGCGAGGGTTTCTCCCGATACAGAGGTTTTTCGTAAAATATTGGAAATGTGATATGTGGTGAACGAGCAGGAATTTCTGGGTGAAAATTCTGATTTTGTATCAGGAGAACATGGTGCTCGAAGAGGTGGCACGACAAAGTCGGCCAGTGGGTGCTTCTCCTGATACACAAATTTCGCTAAAAATATTCGGACTGTAATATTTGGGGAACGAGCCGGAATTTCTGGGTGAAAATTATCATTTTGTATCAGGAGAACATGACACACGAAGAGGTGGCACGACAAAGTCGGCCAGTGAGTGGTTCTCCTGATACAGAGGTGTCTCTTAAAATATTTGAACTGTGATATTTGGTGAAAGAGCAGGAATTTCTGGGTGAAAATTCGGATTTTGTATCAGGAGAACATGATAGCCGAAGAGGTGGCACGACAATTCGGCCAGCGAGTGGTTCTCCTGACACAGAAATTACTCTAAAAATATTCTAACTGTAATATTTGGTGAACGAGCGGGAATTTCTGGGTGGAAGTTCTCATTTTGTATCAGGAGAACATGATACTCGAAGAGGAGGCACGACAAAGTCGGCCAGTGAGGGGTTCACCTGATATAGAAATCTTTCTAAACATATTCGAACTGTGATATTTGGTGAAGGAGCAGGAATTTCTGGGTGAAAATTCGGATTTTGTATCAGGAGAACATGATACTCGAAGAGGTGGCACGATAATTCCGCCAGCGAGTGGTTCTCCTGACACAGAAATTAGTCTAAAAATATTCCAACTGTAATATTTGGTGGACGAGCGGGAATTTCTGGGTGGAAACTCTCATTTTATATCAAGAGAACATGACACTCGAAGAGATGGCACGACATGGTCGGCCAGCGAGGGGTTCTCCTGATACAGAAATTTCTCTAAAAACCTTCTAACTGAAACATTTGGTGAACGGGCGGGAATTTCTGGGTGAAAATTTGGATTTTGCATCAGGAGAACATGATACTCGAAGAGGTGGCACGACAATTTGGCCAGCGAGTGGTTCTCCTGACACAGAAATTACTCTAAAAATATTCTAACTGTAATATTTGGTGAACGAGCGGGAATTTCTGGGTGGGAGTTCTCATTTTATATCAGGAGAACATGATACTCGAAGAGGTGGCACGACAAAGTCCGCCAACGAGGGGTTCTCCTGATACAGAAGTTTTTCTTAAAATCTTCGGACTGTGATATTTGGTGAACGAGATGTATTTTCTGGGTGAAAATTCGGATTTCGTATCAGGAGAACATGGAAATCGAAGAGGTGGCACGACAATTCGGCCAGCGAGTGGTTCTCCTGACACAGAAATTACTCTAAAAATATTCCAACTGTAATATTTGGTGAACGAGCCGGAATTTCTGGGTGAAAATTCCGATATTGTATCAGGAGAACATGATACTCGAATAGGTGGCACGAGAATGTCGGCCAGTGAGGGGTTCTCCTGATACAGAAATCTTTCTAAACATATTCGAACTGTGATATTTTGTGAACGAGCAGGAATTCCTGGGTGAAAATTCAGATATTGTATCAGGAGAATATGATACTCGAAGAGGTGGCACGACAAAGTCCGCCAGCGAGGGGTTCTCCTGATACAGAAGTTTTTCTTAAAATCTTCGAACTGTGATATTTGGTGAACGAGTCAGGAATTTCTGGGTGAAAATTCTGATTTTGTATCAGGGGAACATGGTGCTTGAAGAGGTGGCACGACAAAGTCGGCCAGCGAGGGGTTCTCCTGATACAGAAATTTCACCAAAAATATTCTAACTGAAACATTTGGTGAACGAGCGGGAATTTATGGGTGAAAATTGTGATTTTGTATCAGGAGAACATAATACTCGAAGAGGTGGAACGACAAAGTCGGCCAGTGAGTGCTTCTCCTTATACAGAAATTTCTCTAAAAATATTCGGACTGTAATATTTGGAAAACGAGCGGGAATTTCTGGGTGAAAATTCTCATTTTGTATCAGGAGAACATGACACACGAAGAGGTGGCACGACAAAGTCGGCCAGTGTGTGGTTCACCTGATACAGAGGTTCCTCGTAAAATATTTGAAATGTGATATTTGGTGAATGAGCAGGAATCTCTGGGTGAAGATTCGGATATTGTATCAGGAGAACATGATACTCGAAGAGGTGGCACGACAAAGTCCGCCAGCGAGGGGTACTCCTGATACAGATGTTTCTCTTAAAATCTTCATAATGTGATATTTGGTGAACGAGCAGGATATTCTGGGTCAAAATTCGGATTTTGTATCAGGAGAACATGGAAATCCAAGAGGTGGCACGACAAAGTCGGCCAGCGTGGTGTTCTCCTGAT